TTCACTCATGTATGTGATGTTGAGTCTAGGAATCACACCCTAGACCCCAGAGGTGAGAGGTGAGTGCACTACCACTACACCACCCTTGATTCACTAATGTATGTGATGTTGAGTCTAGGAATCACACCCTAGACCCCAGAGGTGAGAAGTGAGTGCACTACCCCTACACCACCCTTGATTCACTAATGTAGGTGATGTTGAGTCCAGGAATCAAACCCTAGACCCTAGAGGTGAGAGGCGAGTGTACTACCACTATACCACCCTTGATTCTTTTACTATTTATACCAGATTATTTTGCTCCAGGTTTTTTTTTCCAAAAAGTTAATCTTACGAGGTCTTTTGGTGCTATTTAAAAAAAAAGATTTTTCCTATATGTATTGAGTGCTGTGTGCTTTAAATATAGCCATGTTCAAACCGCGACAAATGAAATGTCACTTTAATCTCTATTTGACATTAAAAAAAAAAAAAAGTACTTTTCCCTTTGTAGATTTTCCTGTCGTGGATTTTCAGTCTATTATAAAACTGACATAATTAGTGAACACTAATCGACAAATCAAACTAAGCATAAATGATTTACTGACGTTTTAAAAATAACTTGGAGTTTTTCTCACAACAGGAACGGAAGCCTTGTCTCGAGGGGCGTCCTTGGGATTTGACTTTCTGAACGTCTTCAGAGGCATTCCTAATCTTAATCTAGGTAATTTCAAATTCTTAAAAAAAATATTTTTTTCGAAAGTCAAATTCCGGGATCATTGGATTTAGTTAATTTACGAAGTAATATCTCTAGTAATTATTAGTCTTTTGTTCTCTTTCTAATGCGTTTAACTTGCTGAAATATCCTGTATCTAGAGCGACCTTGATTGAATATCATTTTATTGCTTTTAAAGTGGTTTCAATTTGGCGTAGTAGCGACGATAAGGTGAGTTCGATCGTATTTTTTAAAGATTACAATCAGTATAGCAATATTTTCGCGAAATAGTGCCACTCTTTCTTTTCTGGTTGAGTTTCGGAAATTTCTTCTAAATATTGAACTAAAATATGATTCAGCCACGTATTTTTCTTCTTTCATCAAATAAATATTATGAGGTCGCCTCGCTGTTTTTTGAAATCATAGGCCAAAATTGGGTGAAAGATTTATCTTCGGTATTCTCAGTGATAGTAGAATAACCTTTTGTAAATTGACTAAAAAGGCGAATAAAGAGGGGAAACAAGATATAAATTCAAGCGAATAGTGAGAAAAAATGGAAATCAAGGGAATGTCATTTTCACCCAAGCTATGGCAAGAACAAATACTTTGTACAAAGTAAGAATCAATCCAAAGTACATGATGAATTCTCTCCTCGCCTACAGGTGTGGTCTACATATCTATCTTAGTCTTCGTCATATCAGAATATGAAATATAACCAGGATTTGGAGCCGTTCATTTTTCCTTTTATTTCTCCGTCATCTTTTCATTAAATCTTTAGTGACCGCGAAGTGATATCCAAAGTAGCTTTGCATTTTTGGAGGTCATTATCATATAGAGCTCAAATCAACTTGATCTAAGTCCCACCTCTTACCTACGAAAAATGTTAGAAATCTTAGAACGCAAAATTCTTTCTTTTGCCATTGATTTTTTGTTAGTTTCCTACGCTGGTGATGAATGTATTTATCAAATTTATGATTACACGTATATTATATTGACATCTGTCAAAGCCACTCTTCCAGGTGCTATGCCATTTTGTATATTCATGTGTTGCGGGTAAAAAACCATTAATTGTTGGAAATATCTTGTGTAAACGAATCTACATTATTATTTTATCTTTTGTAATTCAGCGAATGTCTTGGTAAATATTTGTAAGAGCCTTATGAATGAATGTAAACCGTGATGGTTCGTTGTCCACACACAGGGAGCCCACACTGGACTTTGAACACGTTTGACTCGTTGCATTAGCATCACGCATTAGATCTTCAAATCGTGGGATCGGAGGAGCGGGTCAAAACCGGACATCATCAAAAAGTGCCATGAATATCTCCAAAATTGGAATATGGGCTCCTAAGACAAATGGACTGGAAAAAAAACATCGTGTGCCTCGAGCATTTGTTTTGCAGGTTACGTTGGCTTTAAACTGTGTTTAGCCCAAACTGTAGTGAACCATTGAACCATCTATAGTGAACCGATCGAATTGGGCTAGAAAAACGCAGGGAGCCCAAGTTTTGTTTTTTTCTTAGTATATTTAAACTAAAATTGGGCTGTGGAAAAAAGAGCATGGGAGGGGAGAGACGGGAAGAGGGAACATACGACCAATCGATTAATTCTCCTTTTTTAAATTATTATTATTTATGAAGGAGGACAACGATTCCGTCCATGATTCAGATTCCGACATGAAACCCTCGAGGACTGTCTCGTTTGACGAGGATGTAAAGATAATCACTGTGAACGAAGATACCGAGGCTAATGTTGAAGATGAAGTAGAAGAACAAGACAACAAGGCTAGCGAACAGGATAAACCAGAAGATGTAAGTGTTGTAGTAAAATAATAACCATTCTAATAGTAATACTAATATATGTATATACCAGTGTGTATCCGCAGTTCGATGAAGAAATCTAAGTAAGGTGAAAAAGAAAGAGACTTTGGGCCCTAGTATTTGCAGCCCCGCTGAATAGACTAAGCTTGTTCAGGCGTAATATTTTCCTACTTCAGACCAAGTTTTCTTCCCTTTGACATTATTTCTTTGTTTATCTTTAGAAAAGATACGGTATATGATCTACATCTACATTTTATTGTCAGCAGGAACTATACATTAAATTATCACGTTAACTATGGGAAAATTAAATAAATAGATAAATAATAAAAAATAAAATATAGAGTATATAGAATAACCTAGATCATAGACGAGACATGCCCCCCGCCACCCCGAGTCCCACGCCCGCGCAGACAGACTTTATGGTCTGTCTTAGTGCGCATGCCCGAAACCCGGAGCAACAGAGAAACATGTCCCATCCCCCAATCCAGGCCACTCCATATAGATATAAAATATAAATATGAAATTTATAAAAAAATAAAAATAAAAAAATAAATCATCTAATTCCTAATGAATTCTGATAGTTTCACTTTAAAAGTCTGGAGTGAATTAGCTTCCACAATATCAGCAGGTGATAGGGAGATAAGCCTGACAAAAGTTCTTAATCTGAAATGGATCAGACGTGGTGATACTTATTCTTAAACAACTGATTTCAGATTCCTGAAGTTCCAGAAGATGACACTGACACAGCAATAACACCATCAAAGGAACCGGAAGTTGATGATCGCCCAGACGAGACAAAAACCGCTTATAAGGAAGCGGAACCGGAAGTGGATGATAGTTCTAAGGATGTAAAAGCGGAACCGGAAGTCGATGGTAGCTCTGATGATGAGCCAAAGAAGGAATCAGAAGAACCAACAACGACAGCTGCTGAAAACGAAGAAGATGAAAAGGATGGGGAAGTGGATGAGAAAGAAAACCATAGAAATGAAATACAAGTTGAAAAAATAGAAAATGAGATTGAAACTGAAAAGAAAACCGAAGAGGAGCCTGAGAAAGAAACTAAAAAGGAAATACCGGAAGAAAGTCAAAGCGACGACAAAGGTGACACAGGAAAGGATGAAGTAAAGGACGCCCCTGTGGAAGATTCTGTTGATGATCCTAGTGTAAAACCTGATGACAGCTTGGAAGTTGTGTCTCCAGAACCAATAGAGATTGACAGCAGTAGCGATAGTAGCAGCAGCAGCAGCAGCAGCAGCAGCGACAGTGATAGTGATGACGAGAAAGGTGAGCGTAAAGATCAAAAACAAAATCGAGGGTATGAATTGTATGACTACTGGACCTGGCGTAGAAGGGGAAACCATTATCAGTAGCAGCAACTACAACTACACAGTAGCAACTAGAATAGCCCTACTTTAGTTTGGGCGCAATGTTTCTCATTTCAGACACGTGCCATTTCCCTGCAGAGTATCATTTCTTTGTTTCTACCTGTTGCGCAACTATAACAAACCAGTAATAACAAAAACTACGCCCACAACTGCGCCCACGTCAACTACTCGTACAATAACCATAGTTACGACAGTCGCGCAAAACTACCACAAGTTTTATACAAATTCGTATCTACTCAGTTCAGTCATATTAGAGCTTTATATACACTTAGTTCTGTTATTCGTACATAGTGTTTTGTGTTAGTTGTAAAAGCTTTGGTTGTTTCATCTGTCGTCAGTAACAACTACAGTTTTTACAACCAACGTAAAAGCATAAAAGAATGAATCCCATTTCAAAAGCGTTTACGTCTCGATTCTCATATTCGGTTTTACGATTTTCTTTGATTCTTTGTTAATGCGACAGGCTGTGTGAAGGATGTATCTTCACGCAATTTCCCGTTCTCCTCCCAGTATACTCACAGTTTAATCATTAATTGCCGTAGTTTAAAGCTATCTTTGCTAAAGGACCATTCTTTTTTTACGGGCGGAAACTTAACACTGTAATAACATTCAACGCATGTAACACTCAAATGCCCTGCTTTCATGAATTTTTTCCCGCCCACTTTTTCAAGTGTGTTTATTTATTTTTGATGTTGTTTGTTTAAGAAGATGGTGTCGACGAGCCAGACCACGATCCCGGTAAAGACCCTGATCTCGTAGCAGAAAAATTACCTGAGCAGGCCTTGAAGGTGATCGGTGTAACGCCTGGACCCAAACATGAAGGATCCATTCAACCATTGGTAGAAGACAAGAAAGACATTGAGTTGACTAGTTTGGTGCTTGACTCTGAACAGGTACTTTACTCAGGCGTTAGTCAGTGGACAGAGAGAGAGAGAGAGTCTTCCAGTTTTGGCTCCAAAAATTATTTTGGTAAAATCCCTCCATGTAAATTTTAGATGACCGCTCAGTGGGCGCAATTTCCATTTTGGGGACCGGTCTATTCTGGCCTGATTTTGACTTGGAAACCTCTCGGGCATTAGTCGATGGAGAGAAAGAGTCTGCCAGTAGGTTTTTTGCTCGAAAACGTTTTTAACCAAAAATCCTCCAAAATGAAAATTTTGCACCACTCCCGCAGTTTGGGATAATCTCAATTTTTTTGCGCAGTGCTGCGCTGTTTGTTTATTCAAAATTCAAGGTGCAGCGCGCTATCACCTCTTCTCCTTTAGCCATTCATTTATTAATTCATTTGTCTGTTAGGTGGATGAGTTGGCTGGTATTATCGAGAAAAAGGAAGACGTGGGCTCCATAACGTTGCGTAACACACAAATCAATGATGAATCTGTAGAGAAACTAGTTGAAGTCCTCAAAAAGTCTTCTAGTATCAAGGTACACGTATTATAAAGTATAGCTATAGCTATATAGGTGCGGTTCCTAATCTTAGAAAGCGTTAGTGGTACTAGGTAAGTTAGGGTTAAGGTTAGGTTAGGGGATTGAGGTGAGATGTGGGTGTGGTGTGGTGTGGTGTATTGTGGTATGGTGGAGTGGGGTGGGGTGTAGTTGTGCTGGTTGGAGAAGTAAGTTAAGATGGGGTGAAGTGATACAGAGGTACTTCCAGCCGGGTATCGCATTCATCTCGCGAGATGACACCCGAACATGGCTTTGGGTTCGATCAATAAAGACGGACAATCTGCAGCGGCGTTGATGATAAACTTTTGTCTTCGATTATTGCAATTCAAACTCGATGCAGCTTTTCAGAAAAATTCCGGATTCACGTGCAGCAACTTTCTCAGGTCAAACTTGATACAGGCCGGTCGATTTAAATAGATCAAATATCAGTGATTATAGTGAAATCCCTGATGAATATAGCATAACCTGAGCTAGTATCGAGGTGTGTAGATAATAGATGCTCAATAGAAATAGGTATGTTAGACGTTAGATGATGAGGAAGAACAGAAGATGAGTCAGTATTTTCGGTAAGCATATTTTTGCTTTTCTATTAACGTTCAATAACTTTTCATTGGCCTTGACGTCACATTGACTTTGTTTGTTTCAGATGTTAAATCTAAACGTAAACCGGGTTGGACCACAGGGAGCCCAGCATATTGCTGACCTTATCAGAGAAAGCAAGTCTCTTCGAATGCTCTTGTAAGATTCAGTTCTTTATTGTTCATTTACTGAGCTTTTCGATATTCTGCGAACTCAGACATTTCAATGGCTTGTTGTGACATCGTTTTTTTACTGCCGCCAATCAAGAACACAAAAGGTACCGACTGATTACTTTTGATTGACAGCAGCGAAAAACCAAATTTCAGCCTGCAGCTCGCAACTACTGAGTTTGCAGAATATCGTAAGCCGCAGTAACTCACGAGAAGAGTGCTCATTTTCCGCACTTTTGTTGCACAAGTTTGTCTTTCAATAAAAATTTAAAAATATGTAAAATTTAAATGCAGCAGGGAGGTGCTTGCAGCTATTTTATTCTTATCCTGATTCCTTACGAGTGCGGAAAAAGACGCACGCGTTACGGACACGGTACGCAATTATTGACACCCGTTGAGCCATTTATATCACGGGAAAAGGTCATTTATCCAATTATTGTCACTCCACAAAGTAAGTTTTTATTGAGCAGATTTCGTTAAATTTGATTATGTTTTGACCAATCAGAACGCGCGTAGCATCTCAAATATTTTACGAATGGCTTTTAGAACATTGTCTTACCCTTGCATTCCAGGCTTCATGGCAACCCTCTACAAGATGAAGGCGTCCACCATATCCTAGATGCAATCATCAACACCAAAGACACCGCACTGAATAACCTTGATCTAGGTGATTGCAAGATGAAAGACGACGGAGCAAAAGACGTAGCGCGCTTATTGATCCATAACAAAACTATAACAGATCTGACGATTAGTGGAAACAGCATTGGGCTGAGCGGATGGAGAATCATTAGCAGCGCTCTTGAGCAAAACAGTACACTCAAGTCACTCTCTCTTGACTTCAGCAGTCTTGGAGATGACGAATCTGTTATCCTTGCTGAAGGAATCAAGGAAAACAAAGGACTTCGGTTCCTGGATTTGGAAGGCAACAGGATAGGAGACGAAGGTGGTAAAAGCTTATTAGAAGCTGTGAAGGTCAACCCTACTATAGTGGATTTGACTCTGATGCCTATGAATGAAATATCTAAGGATATTTGTGATGAAATCAAGGGGATTCTTGAAGAACGATCGAAGAGTCGAGTAAGCTCTGCATCTAGCTCGATTGGTAGTCTGTTATCAAGAAACAGCCCTCCTAGACCATTCAAAGATGAAGCTGGAGATGACTCCGAAGCAGGATGGCCACGAATCGAATCTTTAACTGAGGACACCAAGAAAAAAGATGAAGTTGAAACGTCTAAGGAAAATGAAGTGTCCTCCCCGTCTGTAGATAATGAAAACAAAATGGAAGATTCTATTGAAGGTGCTCGTGGTGATGAAGACTCCGCTTTCAACGAGACAGAAAACGAAGAAACGACATCAGAAGAAAATAAGGCGCAAAATGACAAGGTGGAGAGCCCATCCGAAGATAGAAAAGAAACTGTAGATAATTCAAATGCTGATCAAAATTCCTAACAAGAGAAAAATGTGATTATGAGAATTGCTTTATTTCTAGATATTTTCGTTAAATGTTTTACGAATATAATTCTGCACTATTTCTGACTTTTAACTGGAATCACGATTATTTATGGATTTTTTATCCACAAATTCAGTGTTTGACAATGGAGCTTTAAAGTTGACGCCTTTCTTGAGAAAAAATTGCTTCCGGGGGCATGTATAAATGCATGTTCTTTAATGATGTTTCTTTCAATTTTGGTCGCAAATCTGGCTGCACATAGTATGGAGCTCGAATTCAAATTTCTGGAATAGATCTCAATAAGCCTATTTACCGAGAAATATGTCATAGCTAAGAGCTTGATAGTGTTCAAATTAAGTAGTTCAAATAGTTTTCAAATTGAAAAAATGCATTCTATACAAGTGAAATTTTGGTGAAACAAATTAAAGGTACAAGCTGAGCGGTGAACGTTGCGCGCAAACCACGAGCGGACTAAATGACAGGCCATAAGCATTTTTGGAGCTTTGAAGCCATATTTCTGCTTCTTGTAGGAAAAGAAAAAAGAAGAAAACAAAAAGATACGCCTATAAGGGATGGGGGCAAAACAGCCAAAAGAGCCGTGATTGGCTAAAACAAAATTCACCGCTCAGCTAGTAGTGATTGCGGATGATATATACGTGTATATATCTACCTTTGGTTTTTTGGTTGTAAAGATGAATGAATAGAAAATGAAACAACTTTGATTTTATATCTTGCTTGGTTCACTGTTTCGTTTTCCATCATGGTCTTGCTCGTCAATGAAGACACCCATAGTGTTTTTATTCTCGTATTAAAGATTTGTGTATATATACTTTTTAACACGATTTAAAAGAGCTACTGCACAATTGGAATTTATTTAGTTTTCATTATATAAATTTTTAGAACACAGAATGCTGATTTATTTTAGGAAAAAGCATGCAATGTAGAATAAACCAAATATGGAAACTAAATGGTATTGAAATTATTACATCAGTTTTTGATTGCCATTAGTTATTGCTTTCTGCACACAAGTTAACCATAGATCAAGCGTTTTCACGTGACGTCACAGCGGCCATGTCGTATCAAAACAATATATTTTCCATCGGAAAATTCTCAGAAAGTTTCTTTTGTTTGGTACACCAATATGGCTGCCTTCATGTGAGTGAAAATGAGGCACAACAATAGAGTCGTTTTCCCCTGGGAAACTGAATTCTTTTTCATGTAAACCATATTAGACCAGATTCAATTGTTCCTGCTTCCTGTCATGGCTGCCATCACGTGATGGTGCAAAGCCTCTATAGGCATTTTCTGAGTTCAAAAACAAAGTGCAATGTTGTACAGCATGAGTACAGACATCATGTAATGCATATTGAGAAAATATAGTTGGCACCCAAACTAGACCAGAATGCATCATTTTCAATACATCATATAGCTTTGTTTAGGCTTTTCCTGAGCTCAACAAGCAAGGTACACTGTGGTGTAGCTTGGGTACAAATACCATGATATAAGACATGATGTTCACAAGGTGTTAGTCACTAAGACCAGAATGCAGCATTTACATCATTTCATCTGCAGCCTAAAGGTAACTACATTATAGTCCTTCACTGCATAATAATAATAATAACAATAATGGGATTTGGCAGTGGCGTTTCTACAGAGTAGCTCTTCATCCACTGTAATTCCAATTGGAAATTTAGCAGTTGATTTTTGAGGAGGGAGGAAAGCCAGGAACCCGGAAAACCCTCGAAGCACAGGAAACAACTCTACTCACATACGACACCGAGCCCAGCAGGACTCGAACCCGGGTCGCATTGGTGAGAGGCAAGTGCTCTCACCGCTACGCCACCCATGCTTCCCACTGCATTCAACAAACATAGGGCATTGAGGTCTTAAACACCATGTAAGGCATGGTGACGATGCAATTTATCGTCAATAAGAGGACAGACACAAAAAACTGATGTCTATTTGTTATATACGTTCCTTATCTCAGAAAAGGACAAAGGAAGATAACTGCATTACATGCACCATCTAACAGCACCAACTGAGTTCTGGATGATTTTCACAGCCACCATGTTGGATGAACTTAACTGAAATATTTTTCATTAGTGTCTTTTGTCATATCATCCAACATGGTCACCATGAAAACCAGCAATCCATACATGTATGGAACCCTTGCACTCCATCAGGATGCAGCCCAATTAGGAGGACACAACAATAGGTTTCCAAATGCCATGAGATTGAAATTCTTTTGTTTTGTCCTCAAATTGACTTGCTTTGACATCACATGCAAGGAGTAGAGTGAGTACATTCCATGCTTGAGTGCATCAGAAAAAACTGACCTAAATCTAAGGGAGAGGGCACAATGGCACCGTTATTTACCACTGGATTGGTCTTCTTGTGCAACAGCCATCTTTGTTTCCCAAAATCTCTAGTGAAATCATACTGAAGCCTTAAGAGAGTAGATTTTTCTCAAAGTTCCTCGTGGAAATCCCATGACATTATCAGTCCATCATGACTAAGAACAATACATAACCGTGCACACTTTAATTTAATTATGACTTTACTATGCATTCCATACTATGCATTTAACATAATTTGTCTCTAACATGGATATTCTTGTGCACTAACATTAGAAAAATAAATTTCCTTTATTGATATAAAACCAACTACTTTTAAATTATTTCTAAATTTGAATATTTTGAAGTGAATATTAATTTTATAAATGCTGACTCTAGTCTCCATTACAGCCATTAATAATGACAACTGGTTTCTATTCCCAAGAAACGTTTTGTCTTTAATGGCTGTGCAGGGGGACTCTAAGACTTGCAAAGTTGAAAACAATGAATAATATAGCAGTCTTTTGTCATCAGTTCAGTTCATGTGAAGTTCAATGCTTGACCTTTAGTCTAACATTTGTTTTGATAAATATGTTACATGGTAGCTTCATAATTTAATTGCTAAGAGGATTCTTATTTCTTCACCATAATAAAAAAAAACGGAAGGAAATAAGCCTTTGCAATGTCAGGTTGACTTATGTTCACTGTCTTCCACATGTGAATTAAATTGTGTGGTTTGCCTTTGCAACAAAAAGGGTTGCAGTGGAAGTCAATCAAGGCGTTTCCATGACATTTCATAGACACTAGAGAAAAACGTTTGCGCATGCGTGCATTTCAGCACATTTTCTAAGAATTTTGAACTGGAGTTTGAGTGAGAAAATAAATGTTTGTTTTCTCCAAGTATACAAAAACGTTTGAGAGTATACTTTTGTCAGACCAAGATACTGTATTAACAAACACAATATGAAAGAATTAGCATGGACACTAAGTTTTGGCATTTTGTGAAGTCCAATAATTTATCAGGCATGTCAAATTTACATATGTTTTGACTAATTTGCATACGAATTCAAAGCATGCACAGACATTTTTCACTAGTGTCCATTCCATAGGCATGTACTCTTGAAAACTTTGTCAGTGATTTTCAACAATTTCATGGAAAATCTTTTATTAATATCCACAAAAACCCTGTTTTGTTGTGACAGCAAAGTGTATGATTTTGCGAGTGTGTGATTAGGAAGCACTGTAAACATGAGCACATCTATTTGAGCCTGTGATATATACTGTTGTTAATATAGTTTTCTTGTCATAATGGTGTAAAAAAATGCTATAATGCTAAAACGCAAGGGTTTACTTGTTTATCTGCGAACACATTAAGATCAAATTAGGCCAAATGATCAAAATAACAAAGTCTATTTCTATTTCCCCTATATTCATTAAACATATTTTTAAAAAAACACATTTTACGACCACCACTCCCTAAATGGGGCTCTTCCGTGAGGTTCCCTCCACCCACACTACCACTACATTCTATATTTACGACATACAACACTCAACTCACATGTTGATTTTTATGGAGGGAGGAAACCGGAGAAAACCCTCATGGCAAGGGAGAGAACAACACATCRAAMAAACTCAACTCACATMTGATCCAGTCTGAGCCRGGGCTCMAACCCAGACCACAGCGGTGAGAGGCAAGCAGTAAACCACTATGCCACTCATGCAATACATGTACATGTAAAAATAAAATTCAGATAATAAATTAATCTACATTGAAGCAACAATTAGGAAGAGTCTGTAGTTTGGTTTTCCTCTTGTGTAGTTGTACTGTCTGTTGCATTTGGAGTATATGCTGGAGGTGGTCCAAGGGATGCAGTGGGTGTTGTGGACTGTGGGACTTCTGTTCCTGGAGACTGCCAGGTTGGGCCTCCTTCAGGGTAAATGTCCAGATAATTCTGTAAAGAATATTGAGATTGCTTTGTAATTACTCTCAGTTAAGTGCATACCATATATATATATATCCATGAAAAATTTTGTAACAAATTGCATAAATTTGCACAAGTTAGTAAGCTCAATAGGCAGTAGACTTGCAAAACTTTGCACTAATTGGTACAATTTTGTTAGTTAACTTTTTCGGGAACATATGGTATGAACTCTAACAAGTGTGGAATTGTACAGTTTGTTGTTGCAACAAGATATGTTTTTGGTGGATGTCAATCAAACAGTTTCCACGACATTGTCAGAAAACAAAGTTTTTGAGGGTACATGCCTATGGAATGTCATGGAAACTAAACATCTTGATTGATGCACAACAAAACATGTACTCTGTCATGACACAAACAAAAAAATGTAGACTTATTTTAGAAAAAGTCAAGAGACTCTAACAGACTTATCTGGGGTAATATCTAGGGTACTCAAGATCTATATTTGTCTAATGTAAATTTCTTAGTAGGTAGGTGTGGGTATAGGGGTATATCATTATCATAATAAAATTATAGTTACTAGCATTTTCTAATGTTAAGGTGATGAACTAGTCCAAGGTGCTCACTTACTGGTAGCTTTGGACCAGGATAATAAGGAGTTGCGACAAAACCACCTTGAGTTGGTATTCCAGTAACAAATGTAGGTGACTGGTTGATAACAATCACCCTCCCTCTAATACCAGATGAACCTGGAATTTGTCTTGATCTTCTTTGTCGCTGTGAACCACCTGCAATATTTACCTAGAAATAGATAATAATAATGTTAACGCTGTTCATTGCTAGGTGCTGATCAATAAACAGTCAATTAGCACCTATAGTTTTGACTGCCAAGCATCGATCCTCTCTCCTTAAAGTGCAAATGAACCCTTCGACAATACTTTCAGTACTAATTCTACATAAAGTAAATAGTTGAATGGTTTAATATTTCTTGATTTGAGTGATGCGTCTCTAAGTTATGAAGGTTTATACTTCCAATATGCTAATAAGTGTGACGTCTATTAAGGCTTAATTAAATATACAAAATTGAACTGGTTCATAGAAACAGTATTTAAAAAGCATCATTATTTTACTCATGTTTTACATGAAAGCAATTTTGAATTTGTATTTTCAAAATGGCCAGCATTTAGTATTACTAGTTACAACAAAAACACTCAAATACCTTACCTGACGTCACACTTATTAGCATATTGGAAGTATAAACATTCATAACTTAGAGACGCATCACTCAAATCAAGAAATATTTTACCAATCAACTATTTACTTTATGCAGAACCAGTACTGAAAGTATTGTCGAAGGGTTCATTTGCACTTTAATAAAATCAACTATTATTAGTATAATCAGTCACTTACTTGTTCCGTATTAATGAGATTTTTCCCAATGTAGCATGATGCCAAAGACGTCAACACATCCAAAATCATAACACTCAATAAAGACCCATATACACCACAGCCGATGCGGCCTTTCTTGTTCCGCTGGTCAAAATACTCTTGTGGTTTATAATAGTCATCATGGATATACTTTGCATAATCATACTCCTTGTAGTATTCTCTTGTAACGGTTGACTCAAAGGCAAAATTTTTCAGTACTGCAACCCCAAGAATGATGCTACATACTAAAATAGATACCATACCAACAAGACAACAGCCAATGAAACCCCCAAGCTGAAAATTAAAGGAAATAATTATTAGTTACAATGATAATGATTTGGAGTGAAGCTGCATTAGCCTTCTGGGCCCGGTTGTATGAAACCTGCGTAGCACTATCTAGTGGATAAGTTGATGCTGTTATGCAATAAATTTATCCACTGGATAAGATTTATCCGTTGGATAGAGCTACCCAGGCTTCGTACAACCGGGCCCTGACTTTTAATAAGAATGACATTATTTTGTGTAAGCTTGAGTGACATTATGAAGAAAAACAGAGATTTGCCCCCGTCCCCCTCCCTCTTACTTTGAAAAGTACTTTGTTGTCCCTGGGGAGGGGTGCGAGCTAAAATAGTATTGCAAATATGATGTTACCATAAAATGTATGCTGTATGCTCTGGTAAAGCATGTATCTCCACCAATCAGAATGCAATTTTTATAAAAAATATTTTATGAGCTCTTTAGCTGCTTACTGTGCAGAAGTTTTTGGTATTATATGCTGATAACAGATGTTACCATAAAATGTGTGCTGTATGCTCTGGTAAAGCATGTGTCTCCACCAATCAGAATTCAATTTTTATGACAAATATTTTATAAACTCTTTACATGTAGCTACTTACTGTGCAGAAGTTTTTGGTATTATATGCTGATACCAAACCAACCACACCAGTAATCAGCATCTAAAAGTATGTAAAAGTAAAAACATTACATCATTACTTCAAAGTTACAACATTTTTGTACTTTACCACATCTATTTTCATTGCTACATGCTGATAAAAAAAACCTGACTCGACAGGGAAATAGGACAAAACACTGCCTTCAATCAGAGTATGTAAAGGTTCTAAACAATATTATTTGATTGAATGCAGAGTATTGCATGATTTTCCCTGTTGCAACTGTTGTCTTGATCAGAACATAGCAATGAAAACAGTAATGTTTATCTTTGGTCCAGATGACACACACAAATGGCACCTTTTCATAAAGGCATTTTTCTTTGTCCATCGATTTACAAAGTTTCATGCTAACATGCTAACAAAGTCAAACAAATTTGCAAAAAGTGATAAAGACGAAATCCTTGAAACTTCACAACCCTTTTACTGTAGTTAAGGTGCCTATAACACCTAACTTAATGTTTTCACCATTGATTCTACATAAAGTGAACATTTGAATGGTAAAATATTTTCATATGATTTGAGTGATGCATCTTGGAGATATCAAGGTTTATACTTCCAATATGCTAATAACAGTGTTATGTCATCATATATAGGAATTTGAGTTTATTTGTCACACCTTGTAAATTGAAACACTGATTATTATGAGCATAGTTAACTATGTTATGAGAAAACAAATTCTCAATACCCTTTCTACGAACCCTGAGTAAGACATTGATGTTTATACAGCCCCAGAAGAGTTTTGTACATTTAAAGTCATGCCTATAATGCATCTCATTAGCATATTGAAAGTGATGCATCACTCATATCATGATTTTTTTAAACATTCAAATATTCACTTTATGTACATTCAATACCGAAGATATTGATTTAATACGCGTTATAGGCACTTTATTGACTATATATAAAAAAAAAAAAACAAGTACAAGTTGCTACACATAAGCAAAGAATTGTATTCGTAATGAAATTGGAGTTCTAGTACATGAATATCAAGCAATAAGATTACGTAAGCTTTAACTACGCAAAACTTTTAGAACATAAAATAAACAAATAATTTAACAAGATATTTTCGATCTTTTTAGTAAATAAATAAATGTTTTGGTTTTCGCATAAATACTTTTAGGCCTGTTTTGTAATGTCAATTTGCTCAAAGTATTTCATGATGATGTAAAGTAAGAATATTTCAGCTCCTAGGAACGAAAATAGACAGGATTTTGTCCGTGATAAGCATTGATGAATATCATCTAAATCCATCATACACAAGTCACGTAGGTGTTGAACACCGTCTATAAATTACACCAACGCTGACAAAAAATACAGCAAACATTAAAAGCCAACACTAATACTTACCCATCCACCGAGCCAGATTCCCATTCCAAATACTCCATTGGAATTATGTGGAGCTACTTCAAGGGCAACCACTCCAAACACTATGGCCAAAACTCCAAGAAAAATATGGATTTTACCAACTATTCCTAGAGATTTAGCTGGACTACATCCCATGATCTGGGCCTTTAAAGTCTAGTTAAGGATTCTGAGCACTTGGTATAAGCATCATGGCGCATTTTACGTAATTTTTTCGCGATAAAAGATGACAGACAATACTCTTCCGAATTTTCCTGTTTCAGCTGGAGAAATGCCTGGAAACGAATAATAATATCACCATACCACAGGAATACCAAATCAGCTTTAGTCGTGCTTTACTAACCCTAGGAAATGTTACGCCAATTTGTTACGCCTAAAAAACCTAATACCTAAAACCAAAGTGTTTACGGGAACGATATTTTGAGCTTATTTCGAAAATACAGGTTTTTAGTTTCTTGTGTCCCGGGCTTCCTGTGTTTATTTCGTATCAGGAATGTCCATCACCAGGATAATTTTTTTTTTCCTTCAGTACAACACTATTGTCTAATGATCGATCGAAATCCCCACCCCCTATATATCACCGCCCGCTTGGCGTTCTTGCAGAAGTCAGGATGATACCCATAATAGCCTGATATAATTATAATTGCCGATAGAGACTAGCAGTAGTAAGGCGGACTCGCGGAGCGTCGGCAATGCACCTGGAATTATGTGGGTATTACTGGGGCCTGGGACCCCCTTGCGCGATCCGGCGACAGCGGCGAGGAGCGCCTTACTGCTGCTGTGTTTGCGAAGATATTTAGATTCCTTGTAGGGTCGCAAACGAAGGTTAAAATATTTCCTAGATATAGATGGACAACATCACGAGCATTCGAAATAGAACTGTACGTAGGTTACGAACTCAAGTGTTGGATCGTTTGGATGCCGACTTCGCCTTCACGACATTTACAGAAGGAGACATAGAAGAAATTATGGACGAAGAAAGAGCTGAAAGAATAATCGACTT